GTGCAAAGCCAGACTAGCGAGCCACATGGGGCTGGGCTGGGTCCATACCCCCCGCAGCCCGGGAGACATCCCCCCTGCCACTCCCCAAACCCCACATCCCCCTGCCACCCTCCCCCTTACCTTGGACAGTGCCTGGGGCCGAGGCAGCAGGAGAACAAAAGAGACACTCTGGCTGACACCAAAGCATCTCTTTTGGAGGACTGACCTCCTGGCACAGTCTGAAACCGTGCTTTGCTCCACTTTTCTGCGGAGCGTCTTTTTTAGACCCCTGGCTATCCAGGGGTCTAATTTTCTTTTCTTGCAGCACGGGGAACACATACAGGAACAAAAAAACGTCTCTTGCCCTGCTGCAAAGGAGTTTGAGGTGGGGCAAGAGCCACGTGCACGCTCATCTGGACGCGCCCATTAAAGGCATGCAACCAGCTAGTCACAGGAAGGCTACACTAAGTTAACACCCTTTTTATGTGTGGGCTAGCACTCAGGTCTCCTGGCCCCTGAATCTAATGTTAGATGGCAGGTTTGCTTCTATACTAGAAGCTATAAATCCAGGTACCAGGCATGGAGTTACCTGACTAAGCTGAAGCCACTTTACTCACTAGATAACTTCAATACTAGGCTGAGCCACGGCACAGCTGAAGCTGAGGGCTTCTCTGCAGTGGTTTCCTGTCATTCAGAAGAAAGGGTTCAGTTGGCAGGATGGCTAACGGGGATGTTTTCATAAACAAGTCTCTGCACAGTGAAAAGCTCTCAAGCTTCCAACAATTAGGAAGCTAAAAAAATAGTGATTATTTTTTTTTGCACCTTTCTTTCCTCTGAGCTGTCTAAGTTTCCCTACTTTGCTGTTCCTTGCAGTTTTTTTACAGCACTCTATTCTTCCAGCCCCTTGGTAGCACTGGGAGGTTGGGACTGGCATCCTAACTTTGACAGCAAGAGGGAGAAATCTAAGTGGTGTGGAAATCAAAGCAACAAGAACACCAAAACTAGCAGGGAGTAGAAAGATTGAGGAGAGGAGGGTGGCAAAACAAACCCTGCTGCCAAGAGCCATGTGGTTCTTAGATGGAAACAGGATCTGTACACACAGAACTTACCTGTCACTGAACCCAGGGCAATCCCACCAGCTGCAGGGATTTCCCCAAGGACTTCCACTCTGAGCGCTACAGAGAACTGGGGATTGAGTTTGAAATGAGCCACAGCTCATGGACCTTGCTTTTTGAGGGATCTTCCTCCTGTACCTTTCATTGGAACCAGGCCTCTGGAACATCCCAGAACTGGGGCTGGCAACTTAGGGCCCACGGACCAGATCTGAGAGCAATGAGATCCAGTCTTGCTCAGAGGATTGGTGGCATGAGGCTGCCCTGCACTGCTTATCTGCTCCATAGCGCCCCCCTCCACCACAGAGCCTGCTGCCCTACAGTGTCTGAGCGTACACCTGCTGCTAAGGGGTTGGTCTGAAATCTGGCTGATCAGCAGGGCAGAGAATGGTTTGATATGCATGAGCCTCCCAGGTGTGGCCTCCAGGGTGTGCCCTTTGCAGGGGGGCCCAAGCTCTCAGCCTGATTTCACCTTCTGCAGTAGAGTTGCCTGCTTCTGCATAACGAACCCTGCCACAGTCTTGTTAGGCAGGGAGGAATCAGGGCTATAATCCCTAAGGCTTCATAAAATGCCAGCCTTTTATTTATAAGTTGCTCCCTATCAGTGAGTCTTCTCCTCTAGAAAGAACATCATGTCAAACTAATCTGACTCGAGTCTTCCGTAGGAACAATAAACGTAGTTTGACACTGGGGCTCTTTAATTCCTATGCACCAATGGCCCCAGCACAGCCAGAGGATAGAGGCTTTTCCTGTCTTGCAGAATTTGG